TAATAATTTTTATCTTTCAATCGAATTTTATTTTAGGAATTGCGAGAAGAAGCAAAAAATTCGTTGTTTTAGAAAAGCTGTTATAATGTTTTGGGTTGCACGCGCATCATTATGTTACGTTTAATGGTTTAAAGTGACCAGTACCAGGCGTTTCTTGTACGGAAACGATTGCGAAATTGTTAAAGAATTGTAAAAAAGTACTCACCAGGTGCCTTATTTGCTATTTTATTGAAACAACTTGTAAAAACTTCGTATAAATGCTGCATAGGTTCATCATCGCTAGTGGCCATTTTTACTACACTACTAAAATCACCGACAGATACCGACAGCAGTCGACCTTAAAATTGTCAAACGAAAGAGGGAAATTTAAATTTTAACGTATACATTTTTCTGTATTTTAAATTAGTGTCGTTTCCCAACGTTAATAAAATTAAGATTAACACCACAACTAAAATAAAATTGCTTTAAGCCGCATCGTTTACGTATAATACTGAAAAATAGTTGTAACCTATATAAATCGCTGGTGATAGTACAGTATGTCCAAGAAAACAGAATCAGCGCCTCTAAACACTGTTTAGTTTACAAATCTGATAACTCTTTTAATAATTACATCTTCCCGGGTTCCCGTATTAGATATCTGAAATTGCCTTATGCATTTGATGATCACAAAATAAACTTTAGCAATGGTGTATGCTGTGTTGCCTACCTAAACGTATAAAACGGTCTAATGCGCTAGGACGGAAACTATTTGGAAAAATACGAAGGTAGGAAATGGAAAAGGTAAAGGTCAACGTGTTTCATTCCCCCGACACCCCGAGGTATACTGGATGCGGGCTGCTCAGAGTTACCTGACCCTCTCCAACCAGAGAACGGGAATGTAAGGATGGGTAAGGAAGGAACGGAGTTAGGGTGCTGAGAGTACTGCTGAATGCTGCCTTATTATGGGAAATAAAATAGTACACAACTTTCATATAGAAAAATGTTGTATACATTCGATATTTACCGAGCCGAGGTATGTACTATACTCCATACATCATGGGCACCCTGTATAAGAAACTAATACGAATACATTTTTCAAAAGTTTTATATATGGACATTGATAAACAGCGATGTGGGTTATTCCTCCTCAGAGTTATTCAATGACTAGTTTTTAACTAGACAAAATTCGGGTTAAGTAAAAGACCATAAGCCTAATAATGATCGAACGTTCTTTGAATTATTGTAACGTAAATTTAATACGTGATTTATTTATATACAATTAATTATTAATGTTCACACTTCACAGGAAGTAATACTATTAACGATAAACTAAATGTATAACGGTCCTTAAATAGATTGGTTTATAACAATTTAATATTTAATATGTAGTTACTTTTATAACACTTACTTTTTAGCACATGTAGTATAACATAAGGCGCATTTCTTTATCACTTCATATCGATGTTAAGATTGAAACTAAACACAATTCAATTTGTTTATATAGCAAACAATAAACCTTCTAGAGAAATCTAGGAGGCATATCATATTTCATGGGAACAATAGCCTTGATGCAGATAAGAAATCATCCGTGTGAAACATGCTTAACAACTTCGGGACGTTAAAAGTAAATCTCTCTTAAACCTGTAATGATCCTAGGGGTCTCCCAAGCCGACACTGAAATTATTGACTTACCCTATACCACAGAAGTTAATCTGTGCCTATACTTACCATTGGCAACTCTGGGAAAAGTACGAGCAGAACCCACTGACCTCTATTTTTTGATTTTTGTGATAATCTACCCTTATGGTTAGGCAACACGCCTGTTACGTTTGAAACAAAAATACGACACGCTCCGTATACATCAATCCTGCTGTGTTTTCGATTCGACCGTTCTGCGCAGATGTGTCAGAGCTAGGCGGGTTTTGGTTTTCCATAACCACAGAGTGTATATAAGTAAATAATACAAACTCTGTTGTTCATAACGAAGCTAGGGGAAAGTGCGTTGCTTATGGAAAATTGGAAAGGATGGCGAAGGAGTCGATGGAGGGCATCACGCTTTCCCAGGTTTTTTCTTCTTGATTTTGTTTATTGTGTTTTGAAGGTGTATTTACAGATAGTAACCAACTATTAATCATTGAATTTCTTGTCACAATTTGTTATTATTTACATTTTGCGGATTTTGCATAAATTGCCGATATCCAAACATGGAGTACCTACTCCATGCTTTTGTTTTGAGTACCGTTAAATGCATCATGTTTGTTTGTTATACTAATACTGTACAGGTGATTAGACCATTATTTGTTTTATTAGGTATTTAGGTATCAGTGTGACGTTGCTCTGCTCGATTACGCTGCAGTTCTTGTACGTAAGCTACCTATACGAAAAGGGGGGAGTAGGTACGTAATACAGTCTTTCACAGTAGGTATCTCTGTTGCCACGCCACTTTGATGTTTTCCTATGTTCATGCAATTTATCATTTTACGAATTGTTTTATTTGAATTGATCGTACATGTATTAGCCCAGTCAATTTAGACCAAAAATGGGCAATCAGAGGAACTAAAAATACTAGTTCCAATTTTTTCAGAAATGTGTAGGGGGAGGTTCCCTGAACAAGAAAAAAGTCCCTCCAAATTCCGGTGCCGCTGGGGGAAGGGGGTGGCTTTAAACGACCCATTTTTCAATTTTTCGCTTTTAACTCGAAAATGGTGCGTTACAGTGAAAAGTTCTTCAGTACAAAATGAAAGCTTATTAAATTTGCTACAAGTTTGGGTATATACATTTTTTCGAAAACTGAACCGTTTTATGGTATTAATGTCCTCGTACCCATCGAATACAACTACACAATTGGAAGAATAGTGATTTATTATATATGAAGAATACTGCTCACAGATGAAAGAGAAAGTGCTCCCTCCACTTGACTCTGTGAAGGAGAAAGCCGCCGTCCACTACAGTGTAAATCGTTTTGAGGTGCACTGCATCCATGCACACAGGGAAAGCCATAGAGAGCAGATTTCTTCGTTTTCCTGAAGCATCCTTCGTGGAATAGAGTGATGGGGTATGGAGATAACTCGTACTTCAACAGGTTCGGACTATAGGGATGTTAATGCTATACCGGTTTTATCGTTTTATTGTGATGATTTTCCCCTAAAATGACCGGGGGAGGATTTAGAAGCCAAAATATACGAAAAACGTGAGTGAAAAACAATTTTGTTTAGAAATTACCACCTTTCCGGAGCCGGTAGCACGGAAACGGTTCAGTTTTTCGTAAAGATGTATATAACCAAACTTGTAGCAATTTTAATAAGCTTTCATTTTGTACTGAAGAACATTTTCACTGTAACGCACCATTGTCGAGTTAAAAGCGAAAAACTGAAAAATGGGTCGTTTAAAGCCCCCTCCTTCCCCCAGCGACACCGGAATTTGGAGGGACTTTATTTTTTCTTGTTCAGGGAACCTCTCCCTACACATTTCTGAAAAAATTGGAACTAGTATTTTTAGTTCCTCTGATTTTCCTATTTTGACTGGACTATATTCCAATGTGTCTTTGTACTACATTGATTTATCATGTTTTCAACTTGCATTTGTGATGTGTCGTGTGATTTGTTTTTATGAATTTGTTTAATTGCATTTGATTCGATTACCTGATTTTTATCACACAATTTGAGATATTTTATTTATGTGTATTTTCTCTTGCATTTTGTTGCTGTGGGTGATTTATTTCGTGTATTTGTGTGGGCTACGCCGGGTTTTGTCCCGTAGAAGGTTTCTCTGGTATAGCCTTGTTGTGTGCGTAATAATTTAGTTGCTCTTGCCATTTCTTACGCACAAAAAATTCTGTCTTATTTACTTCTCTTCCCTCACGTCCCAACACGTAGAAGAACCAATTACACAATGTAGGAGTTCATTCGTACCATCTACATCGGGCCGACCGCTACCAAGTTTCAAAAGTACCGCGAAACGTCTGTCGTGTCGGCTTAACAAGTAGGATGGCTCTGCTCATAGTTTTTTTCCCAGAGTTGCCAACGGTAAGTATAGGGTAAGTCAATATTTTCAGCGTGTGGGAGACCCCTAGGATCATTACAATCTGTAAATACACCCTCAAATCACAACAAGCAAAACAATCAATGAGCAAAACCCGGGAACGCGTGATGCTCTCCATCGACGCCACCGACATTCTTCGTTAACCCACGCTTCCCCTTCCTTTTCGCCCGCCAAGCGCACATAAAGATTTCATTCCTGAGTGAATAGCAGCGGTCGTGGGACGCGTCCGCTAAAGGATGCAATACCATCCAGAAATGGCAAAATACCAAAGAATGCCAGAAAGTAAGCAAGTGTCACAAATAAATTATCTGCTGCAAGTGTATGTACATTTCATATTTCGTAGTAAAATAAGATTAATTAAAAAGGCGAACTGAAAGAATTCCGACTACTTTCGGAGATATCCGGAAAAAAAGGAAATTTTGCAAAATCGTTTTATTTTTTACTGAAGTTATTTAAAAAGATATTTCAAAATAAATGATACATTATTATGACCATTTTTTTCCCACTACAGTCTACAAGATGCTAGTATTAAATTTTAAGTCTGACGTTTCGTGTCCAGTTAACCATCATCAACTTTGTTTTTTCTTATGGAAACCATTTTCTTTTCAATTTCAAAAGACCATTGGTGGTCTGCAAATTTGAATCAGCCTGTATAAATAAAAATGAATCTCCATAGTTTAAATAAATAGATCAATTTCAATTTAAACGCCAATCGTAGAAATACCGCTGTTTAAGAACTGTCGACAGTGCTAATACATACCCAATATGGAGATCAATTGCGTCAAAGCTGATTCATTATAATTAACATAATTACATTAGTCATTTGTTTTGAAGCAACCTGCACCGCTTCAACTAACCACGTCAAGCATGGGGATCGCGGTCAAACGGATTAATTATTACTATGTAATCATCAATAAAATATAAAGTACCTAGCTCACAAGAAAACAAGGTGACTTTTTTAAATATTTAAGTATTGACATGCAAATGTGAGCAGTCTCAACAAGAGGTGCATTAGTTGTGTTCTGGTGCTCAAGATCTATTGAGGCTATGATATTTAATTTAACTGCTGAGCAAAATGAGACGGAAATACCATGGCTTTACCAGCTTAACAGAGAAGACATGACATGGGTTATTACGAGTTCCTTCATGATATTTACCATGCAAACAGGTTTGGTTTCGATTTAGTACATTTCTTACTTTTCACGCACAGGGCATGAGAATTGCATCACACATTATATTGCTATTACAGTAAACGTCAACCGTATTTATCAAGCTTCACATTTAAGTTACCCTTAGCAAACCGTTCAGTAACGTATAGTCTTCAAGAACTAATTACTTTATGTCCCGTTTTTGAGGAAACAAAAAATTCAAAATTTCAAACTGTTATAAATATTTTCATTGTATAACAAAATTTATTTGTAGCAATATTTTTTCTACGTAACCCAATTTCAAAACTGACAATTATTAATTTAAGTCTTAAAAATTAGATGACAAAGATGACCTTTCTTCCAGCACGTTCACCAGATCTTTTGGTTTGTGTTTTCTTTTGAAATGCTACGTTTACTATCGCACTTTTATGACGTAGCTTTTTTAATTCGATCAGGAAACATTTCCATAACGTATACTTTGGATGTCTGTCTCTTGAATGTCCCCCCTCAGAGTTTACGTGTACCTACTTAATCGTTAAGCTCCATCAATTGCCTCTGCAGTCACCACAAAGTGTAGAAGCGGTAAGTTCAGAAGGGTCTCCAAGAATGTGATGTGATGCGTTGTATCCATCCTCCTTGTCATGTATAAACAGGCCAAACGTGTTACCCGGTTTAGTTTAGTCCACAGAATACGGTCTTCTCAGAATAGAAACAGCAATGTTACAAATTTGTATTAAAGTCACTAGATATAGAAAGTACCGCAATCATCCGCCATTTTTGGGCAAATTTGCTGCCAACTTAAAAAAATTGACAAATAAAATCTGAATAGCATTTTTTTATAACCTAACTTCATAGTACTGTCATGTTTTATAAAAATATATACAGATATCTCCAAACAGGTGGAACAATCCCTAACATTAAAGTTTCTAGAATCTGGTAACTTCCGCCATTTTTGGGCAAAAATCATGCGTTCTCTCTCTAACACACGAGCCCAATGGATTGCGGTACTTTCTATATTTTTTGCGCGATCGGTCATTTCTGACTATTTACCATGGGTGTTTCCATGACAGTGCGTAGAATTTACCAGTTGCTATGATTACGACGACGCCAAAATTACTTACCGATCTAAAAACAGAACAGCAAAAATACTTACCGACGCCTTTTTAAAAATCAACAGTCTTACATTACATTTAATCTTTAATTATTGTTAGGTACATTAATCGTACAATTTGTGCTGTTGTTTCCTATAGCAAGACGCTCATAAAGTTATAAAGGATGTGCAAAGCTAGTAAACTACATCAGACACATGCACATTTTTATGGAATTATTAATTTCAATTTTGACATTTAAACTGGTTGCCTAGTGATGTACACCATACCACTTTGATCATTTCGATTTATTCTGCTCGTTCATTTCTTAGTGCATAGTTATATTGGTTGGATAATTTTAATTTCGATCGCGCAAATGTTATAAGCACGTCGAACGTTAAGGGTTACCGTTCTCAGACAATAATTGGAGTCGTCGCTTCGCTCCTCCTCCAAACAATTGTCTTCGAACGGTAAAAATCCCTTACCGTTCTCCATACTTAATATACTATAGTGACTTTAATAAAACCGTTTCAGCAAATTGTCACACAAGTTTTTGACAACAAATGTTAACTTGATCATGGTGCTTACTTGTTACTTGAGAAGCGAGGGTGGAAGTTGTTGAATTATCTAAAACGAATTACAATATAAGTATCTACGTCTATATAAATATAAAACTCAAGTCTACGCCCTTTTGCGCCTATACCATTAGGCGTTAGTAATTTATAAATTCCATACCTTGAATAAATAGAAAGAAATAACAACACATTTCAACCTTCTTCGCGTTTCAAGCACAAAACAATGTGTTTCAAAATATGGGAAACGATGCCTTTTTGATATTTTATCGTTACAATCCCGCACACAACACTTTTTGCGGTCACATAACTTGTTCATATTTTAAATCTTTCAAAAGTCAAAATTGACATGTGTAAAACCATGTGTACGTATAAAATCGACGGTAAAAATATTTCCTGTAACGAGCAAAATTACAGGTTTTGCAAAAAAATATTTGAGTCTGCGATAAATAGTTCTCCGTACAACCACGGGAAACGCTGTAATCAGTGACAATTCAGCGCCATTTATGTTTCTGTTCTGTGAAGGTCCTATTCTGTGGTTTAGTCCGACCTTCTTGTGTTTCATTCCATCTCCACCACACGCCGAAACGAAAAGTTTGACTTTTTGGAACGTTATCATATCTTACTACCCATTTAAGATAGAAAAAGGTAAAAACGGCCTATTTTAGATATTTTTAGATAGGATCCAGTGGGGTAGTCTAAAAAATGTTTGGACTACCGTTTCTGAGATTTGACCCAAAGTTGGTACTTTTTACATGCAACACCCGGTATATTATAAGTATATATAAAGTCCATGTTTCCTGATTATATGGATGTAGGTATCAGAATCTATATTTTTTTTTGTCATGAATTAAAAATACAAACCTTATTTTTTACGGTTTTTAAATAGTAGGCCATGGATTCATAGAGATTTTGTTTTGTTTATTGTATCCATGGTAACTAAGACCAATGACGGTAGAAACATGTCACTTCAAATTTTGAAAAATATGATATAATATACGAGGATTATGCAGAAAATAGCAGACGTTTTGAAATAAAATTTTTTAAACTAGTGAAGAAAATCTCTTATTATATACCTACTTGGGAGCTACACTCTTGGGCTATTTATCAACACAAGTGCCATTCAAATTGAAGCACTTATCATAGCCCGTACACAGTCAACCGTGCTGGACAGCTCTTGGATGATTTTGGATGGGAGAAAGGATCACCCTCAATACAGCTCAGATCTAGCGCCAAGCGACTTCGACCTCTTCCCAGCGATGAAGACATCGCTCGCAACACAGCACATGGACAGTGATACCGAACTTCAAGCCGGTAATAACCAGTGGTAAAAGTCTCAGGCGACGGATGTATACAAAGTTGAAATCAAAACACTTGTACCACGCTATGATACGTGCCGCAATTTGAATGGGGCTTGTGTTGATAAATAGCCCAAGAGTGTAGCTCCCAAATGTATATAATAAGAGATCTTTACAAGTTTAAAAATTTTTATTTCAAAACGTCTGTTACTTTCTGGACACCCCTCGTATAATCATATAAAAAGTATAGGTTGTGAGACATCAATTTAATTAGGAAAAAGAATGCAAAAAATTGACGTTATACAGGGTAAATACCAACTTTGGGTCAAATCTCAGAAACGGTGGTCCAGAAATGTTTTTTGACTACGCCACTGGATTTCGCACCTTATTTTTGGTCATACAATATGATGAGCATTTGCACCTCACCCGATGATGGCATGCCATTTATTGACCATGAAATAGTCCAATAATTATTTAAACTCATTTCTGGGTCACTGGCTCGCTTGGTCGTATTCGCATTACTTTCCCACATGATAATCAATTCAGCTCTTCGTTGTACACCCTGTACATAAACTTTCAGATAAATTTGTAAATTCCCAGAAAAACTTGCAAATTTACATAACAGTGTAGATTTACAGATTAGATCTGTAAAAAAACATACTGCTCGCGAGCATCGAGTTGTTTTGCAAAGCGAAACCGCTTGGGAGTTCCGAGCACTCCTAAAAGTGCTCGAGCGGTTTATCGCGAGCACACGGGGAAAGTGCTCGTGAGCGGAAAAAACGTTCAAGAGCGGAAAAAGCGTTCGGGAGCGGAAAAAACGGCTCGGGAGCGGAAAAAACGCTCGCGAGCCACGCTTAATCCATCAGCGCTTGAGGGCATTTAAAAGCGCTCACCAGCGAAAAGGAACGCATTTTTTTAATTGTTAAAAAATTGGCTAAAAATACTTATTATAAAATTACGGCAGGACAAGTTCCTCATCGATCTTTACCTATGCCAATCGCAGGCTTTAAATTTTGGAGATGATCGAAGTCGAAAAGTAAATAGTGGCCGGGATTGCTTAATGCGGGGCAACCGGTAAATTCCCAGAAAAATCTAAGGGCATAACAATCTCCTTGTGCTGCCATTGTGATAATAAGTTTTGCAAGCATGTAGGTACTGTATGTCTGTAAGCACTGTACTGCATCTGGAGATCCGAACGCGATATATCCCACCACTTCCTTTTCCTCTACCATTACCTACATTTTTTACTGATCCTGTTTTCTTTAGGGTTTGGCATGTTAGAATCTGGATGTGTCTCTGTGAAAAATGAAGTAAACATCATGATGAAGAACGTTGTAGATATTGTTCTAGGAGGTAAGATATCTAGAGGTTGCGTAGATGATTTTTTATCGTAGGTCTCACTTATTGGATCTTTGGCTTTGCGTTATCATTTGGCAGAAGTTCCCTAAATAACCCTTTTATATCATTTGGAGACTTTTGCGTTGATCCAGATGTTGAAGATCCAATGAAAGGCGCAATATACACAGCCTTTCTGTTTCAAATGTCATTCGCTACCACAGCGACTACTATAGTCAGTGGAGCCATGGCTGAAAGGTGAGTAGGTGAGTTTATGAGGAACGATTATAAATCAAATGAGTTTCAGGTGCAATTTTAAAGCGTACTGCATATTCAGTTTGATGAACACCTTGGTATACTGTGTGCCCGCAGGTTGGATTTGGGGTACACAGGGATTTCTGAAGCAGTTAGGTGCAGTCGATATAGCCGGATCCGGTCCTGTACATTTAATAGGTTGGACCACCACCGTTAATCCTCTTTGATTTATTATATTTCAGGCGGCACGTCAGCTTTTGCTAGTGCGCTGATGTTAGGGCCGAGACTAGGGAGGTACGACAATGGAATCGCCCCACTACCTTTGGGATCCCCGGTTAACGCAGTGATGGGACTCTTCGTCCTTTGGTGGGGATGGTTAGCTTTCAATTCCGGAAGTACATACGGAGTAAATTAATAACGCGTGAATTACGGTTGTAAATAGTATAGTATTTTTAGTTATCGGGATCAAAGTACCAGTACGCGGCAAGGGCGGCCGTAATGACGATGATTTCGTCTTTTGGTGGAGGTACTGTGAGCTTGGTGTATTCTTTAATTCGAACGAAAGGAAAAATTGAAGTACTCGATATTATCAATGGAGTTCTTGGATCTCTTGTGGCGATTACAGCGGGATGTTTCCTCTACGAAGGTACGATTCATTTTTGCTCAATATTATTTAGAAAAACTGTATCTAATGTGTGTCAAAGCGTTTGTGAGCTCAAATTACGACAGGTTGAAAGGACTTCAAACGGCTATATATAGCTTAAACCATGCTTAGACATGTATAGATATGTAGACTAGATTTAAAAAAATTTAATTGCTTTATTTTACAAGTAACAACTTGCCCAAATTAACAAAAGACTCAAAATTTACTGGGCTCATAAACACACGTAACCTAATAGGTCCGTAACAGCCTCCCCTTTCTGAATAGGAGAACGTCTCGATCCCTATTCAGATGGTTTCCCTTTGGCTTTCCTTGGTCGGTCTCGTCTTCTTATTGGTAGGATTGGCATAGGGTCTGATGCCCCTTGGGCTAACGAATGGTAGGTGCCGAGAGATTTTCCAGATAAATCCCTGTCTTCTATTTCGTAAGTCGTACGGACGGGGTGAAGGATTGTATATGGTTTTTCTCTTCGCGGCGTGAACTTGCTTGCAACTCGCCGTGACTTTTTGGCATTACTTGTAAGTGGGTGCTTCCCTTTATCTCATATCTGCGTATACCTTGGCATTGGTTTGTGCCTCTTCTTGGTTCAATTGCGTTTCTCGTAGGGTATCGGTCATGGCGGAGTAAGTACGGGGTGATTTCTGGGATGAATGTATCTGCCGTTATGGCTGTTATGGCTCGTTGGTCTCTGGTGCAGTGCAGTGGTTAGTTTTGCCTTCAAGTCGACGTTCTTCCTTTCCACTGGATTGGCTTATAGATGGTAGATCGGCGTTAGTGATTGGGTGATTCCTAAACAATACGTGACATGTTGCACTGTGTCACTGACGAACTGCGAGCCGTTGTCGCTTCGTAGTCGCCTGAGAATTTTGTAGCGGAGGCATATTTCTGCGATGAGAATTCGCGCAGGTTTGACTGTCAGCCCGCTGGAGCACGAACATCTCGTGGCGATGTCTTCAACGATTAGAATCCATTTTTCTTTTACGAGCTTCTGGTAATAGTTCAAATAGCTCTATTGCGGTTACTTCCAAGCGTCTCGCGGGTGCTGGAGCCTGTAATGATCCCGCGGGTTTCTGGTTTGCGGCTTTATACCTCTGATATTCAGGGCAGTTTTTCACATATTCAGCAATGAGTTTCCGCATTTCCGTCCAGAAGTAGCGACTTGCAATTCTCTGCGCCGTAATGACCTGCTGTTGGCGGATCGCGGAACTCCTTCAATATCGTTGTCTGTTCTTGTTGGGGCACTACTAGCTGCCGTCTCTCGTTAGCCTGATCGTTCGTGGATGGTGCACAGGAGGCAGAATAATTCCTCTCGGCGGGGTTGAGCAGGCGGCTGGCCTACTCCGCAGGTCGTTCGTACGAGCCTTCTCCTTGGGTGAGTACAGCGCCTAGGGCTGAGGGCGTCTGGCTGGCATCGGTACTGATGATAAAGGGCGAGGTCGGCTCAGCCTGTCGCAATATTGGTGCGGTGGTGAGGAGGGTTTTCAATCGATTGAAGGTGGCGTTTTATTCCGTTGCCCATGCCCATGGGGCATCCTTTTTTCATTCGTAAACGATCTGTGAGTCGTTGGAAGGTTGTAGGGGCGTTTCTGAGCCCAAAAGGCATTCTTTTAAATTGGCAGAGGCCGAAAGGAGAGATGAAAGCGGTTTTGCCACGGTCCTTTTCGGTTACCGCGATTTCCCAGTAGTCAGGAAATTCCCGTGCCGCCAAAACTGAGAATATTCGAGGACCTACTCTTTTTCATTATACACTTGTATAAGACCGCGCTATCGTCAACCCTTTCCGAAATGTTGTCGTATTTAAACACTTGCATTTCCACGTAAGCAAAACGTTATCATTTGGTGTCTTATCCAAACCCATCAACTGTTAACTCACCTGTTTATTTTGTACAAAAATAATGCCTGGTAAATAATCTTTAATGATAAAGAAATTTTTCACAAAGAAACATCTACAGCCTGTACAAAAAATTACAAACTAAAATATGCGTGTTATCGTAGCAATATGTTTGCTTCATAACATTTAAGGGAGTGTAACTCCGAAGCACCAATGCTGTATAATCTAAAGTTCCTTTATACAGGTTGGGCTGCACTTATTATTGGATCAGTTGGAGCTCTTATCGCCTGTGTATCTATGCCGTTAATCGACATGGTAAATAATAACACACTTTTTGTTTTACTAACATTGGATGTGTAGATGGGCGTGGATGATCCTGTGGGAGCAACATCTGTCCATGGATTGGGTGGAATATGGGGTAAGTACTAACATAATGAATTTTTTTTATTAATAATAATTAAACATTCACATCTAGGGGTGATAGCTGTAGGGTTATTTGCACAAAATCCAATTCCGCTAGACACTACTGATGGAAGATCCGGTTTATTTGAAGGTAATTATGCAGAAATTCGCAAAATGTTAATTAAGCTTTATCACTAAGGTGGGGGATGGTATTTATTGGGCATACAAACACTTTCAGTTTTATGTTTGACGGTATGGGCGTTTGTGGTGACAATCATTATGCTGTGGATGATCAACAAAATTGTAACAATCCGTATGGAACTTCACATGGAGTTAATTGGAGCCGATTTAACCGAACATTTTGTGAAACATGGACAAGTATACGTTAATATATTTGTAAATTTTAAATTTAGTTTTTGTGCCTCAAAGATTTTGATTTCAACAAGTACATTATTCTTTCTTTATTAATGCACAGTTTAGAATGCCTTATATAATGAACTGAGAAATATGACCTGGTATAGTATTGTATATTTAGATGGCACTAACTTAAGTGGCAATGCCATGGGGAGCATTATTCCTTATAACATTCCCATCAAAGTATGCCGAGCAATACAAAATATAGGCAGTCACGCTTTAGCATGTAACCACACGAATGTTTAGGCACACACAAATTAGGTACCATTGTTTCATGTTTCAGTTAAACTTATCTCATAGATAACCTCCTAACTGTTAGATACGTTTAAAGGTCAGATGCCCCGATCTTAAATCTGGTTAATTACAGGTAGGAGTCTCGCGCGCAGTTTCTGCGTTTAAACCGTGCATAGATACCACGGATATAGATCACGTTCCAAGCGTGGGTTTGAATCCAGGACACGATGCCAAGGTTGAAATAATTCAAGGAATGAGTCGCAAGAGAAGGCCAAAATTATCAAGGATACTGAGAAACGTCACTAATCGGGGAAATTTTGGAATTAACGTTGCTCGAAAACTGTTTCCTCCAAAGAAACTTCAAAGGAAGATTTCGATCCGAGAAAGAAGTGGAAAAGGGAGCATCACTTCACAAACTGGACCGAGAATAACTACAATTGAGATGAATCATTCCAAAGCAGGCGTAGAGATAGCGTGGTTAGATTAGGATTCATGTGTAATGCAAGATTTAATATAGTGATCTATTAATTATTGTACATTTTTCGATACCTTCCGAATCTGTATACCTATTAAACCATAAGAAGGATGTAGCAATTTTATTGCAGAAAGTTTCGATGGATAATTGTGTATAGTTTGTATATTTCTAGTACATTTTCATAAAATACATTAATAATTACGTTAAACTTATTTAAAAAATAAAGCTAAAAGAAATCCGGCCGTGGTGGTTCAGGTGGTTCTAAGTTACTACGTTTAATTTTTCTCTCTTTACTCATTAAAGGTTCCATCTCTTGACGTTCGAGGTCTGCGTTTCGATTCCTCCTCCTCCTCGAGTCCGCTTTATAACCATTCCTCTCAGTATCGTTACCCTTACTGCATTGGCACCATAAAAGCACAACGATTATAAATACAATAACGCCTGCTACCGAACCGATCATCACACGAAATTTATGTGTATTCGAATACTGCAATAATAATTTCTAACTCATGCTCGCACGCATTATTCCAAAGTCTCACCACTACTCGTAAACAGTAAGGATCTTGGAGTGGAGTTGCGCAGACCAGGCATGATTTTGATCCGGCCATTGGTTGGTATTGTCCTGCGGGACATTCAATGCAACGTGTTTCGTCTCCTCTACTAAAAGTATTTCTGCTACATGCACCTGCAAATGGAAAACAAGTTTATTTTCTTGACGCTTTGAAATTGTTTAGATGTTGCTGATTTGCAGTTTAATAATTCTTGTAAAATAATCGGTTACAATAGATCATATCTAAGACTAAAGTTATGAGGATCAGATGTCTGAGATGGTAATAATGACTAATTAAGTCAAAAAATGACGTGAACGTGCACGTTTACGCAGATCCATAATGCTTCCTTTCAATTATCTACCTGAATCAAATGTTTCTTGCAGCCAGTGCGTACTATATTTTTTGAACAAGTTTTAAGAAACGAGCAATTATGGAGTGGTATTATGGACACCTGATTAGATACGGCTCCAAACAGAGAAAAGGAACGAGTCTCAAGTTAGAGACGCCATTCGTAAAAGGTGAGTGATTCTATTTCACAGTTTGTAACGAAGCACCCGTTTTCGTATAACGAATTATACCAGTTTTAATGAACACTAATGGAAGCTATCAGCTTTTATGTACACATGGTACTTTGACGAACTCAAACGGGCGCTTCTTTACTAGTAGTTGTAGTTCCGAATCTATGTATTTCTTGTCTAGGAGTAAAAAATAGAAGGTAAAAGTAGTATTTTAATTAGTAGAACCGCTTTAATCCCTGATAACGAAAACCAGCTGCCCAACATAATTTTTCAGTTCTTCTAATTGTTCCCAAAGAGATATTTTTATTATTCTTGCAGCATCCGAAAGATCGTGTAGTTTATTTCATTATCGTAGACCTTTTTCAATTGACTCGCAATTCAATGTAACTATGGGCATTACCGGACTAACGAATTTTGGAATTTTAATCCGGCCAATTGAGTAAGTATAATTAATCGTAGTTGATTATTTGTGTTGCAGCAAACTTCGTCTGATTAGATTGTACCTGGTGCCACTAGAAGCGGCGCTTAATTAATATAGATTATGAGATGTCCCAGGAGAGGTTTACCCTTGATGGTCTCGACATTATGTCGAAACTAGAGGACAAGCCAAAATGCTGTGTGTATTACAGGTCCAACTGGATGACAAATGTGGAAAGCCCACACATACTCCCAAGATATTCATCACGACATCAGACCTCAAGTTCAAATATTGGCACGTTCTGCTCGATGACGACTCCCAACCGCTATGCTTTGGCCATGATGCCGTTTGGGTTGAATAATGCACCACCCATTTATTAAACAGTAATGACGCTATAGATTTTACTTGGAGGTTCACGATGGTTTATGTGGATGACTATCCTGAACGTAGAAGAAATACTTATCATCACGTAGATGACGTGGTTCCCAGCCAAATCCGGAGATGGCTTTGAATATTGAGGTACAGAAAAGGAATCTGATTTCATTTTTGTACAACACAACAACGTATTATGAAGGATAAATCTAGGAATTGCTCACCGCATATATGAGTTTTCTTAACATATCCAAATCCGGGCTGACAGCCAATCACTAGATTTGGTGACTCTGCTTTGAACCCCCCTTCTGTGAAATTGCCTATTCCTTGTACGGGTACTAGCTTTTCTTGTCGATAGGACAGCCTCACGAAAACTACAAGGTAACCTATGATTATCATATCGTCGACTTGGGACGGTGTTACCGGGTAGCTTTTCCACACTCTCCAAGTTTTTGATGATGAACATCACAATTCGAGAGTAAATAGCCATTTCACAATTTACATCACATGATGCAGTATTCAAACTAGGTACAATAACGTCCATGGGCTCTATCGCAACCGATAAGTTTAACGAAATATATTCTTCAAACTGAAATGGAAATGAGGTACTTGAGGAGGTACATTAAAAAAATGTACTAAACTCACACATTGTGGTTCATTTACATCAATTTTGCAAACTTTAAAATAGCTACCGCAAACGTAACTTCCCAACGTCCCTGGAAAATATAAGGATACTATTTCTGTATCGCCAGGTTGACATTTTTGAGTCGAATTGTAAACCACTTTTGTGGTTAACGTGTATGTAGGAAGGGCAACTACAGAAACGTAATGCTCATATTTCATTTCGGCACCATCGTGTGAAATCACCGTGCAAGTGTAGTTCCCACCGTCCTGTGGAGATACGTTGTCTATAATTAGCACCCCTTTCTTCTCCTGCACCTTTCCTTCTAAAAGAAAATGGCTCCTTAACATGCAGCTTTTATCTAGGCACTTACCAGTTAATGGCAAATCTGAGAATGTCCAACTGTAATTGACGGTACTTTCCACCACGTCCGTGTTGTAAAGGCACGGCAACTTTACCTTCATTCCTGGAGTAGCAAATATTTCGTTATCTGCAAAATTAATTTGTTATACGGCTAGGCCGCGCACATTCTACTTACCCCTTCCCTTTAACTCCATTTGTTCGCTTAGCGATCTATCAACTTGATAATTGGGAATAATTTCTCTCTTACTTCGATATAAATCTGGCAGGTCAACAAATCTTTTCACGATATGCGGTATTGAGTTATTCTCCAAAGGTATCCCGTTGTCAACGTGAGTAAGGATGGGGCACGAATAATTTTCAAAATTCCATTTAATGCCGCGGGCCAATTTATCTCTAACATCTGCTATAAGGTTATCCATGGAGCACACGCAATAATTTTGCGTGAGGTAATCCGACAGGTTGCATGTGCTCTCCTTTGGAAAATTCGGGAGTGAACTGTACTTAGGGATGTGCCCCTCCTCTTCGAATACAGTCGGCAACTGAAGGTGTTCTCCTCCAGACACTGACTCCTGGGTAGCTTCCGTAATTTCATCGGGTTTAAACACTGTGGTAGGGTAATTGACATCCTTGGGCTGCATTTCTGTTATATTGGCGGTTTGGTGTTCGCCATGGCCTAAAGAAGTGAGTGCTTCCGTTTGACCGTGATTTTTGGCATCGAAAAGTTTAGTAACACGCATCGTTGTAGTAATTGTGGCTACCTCAACGGAAGTTGAGCTAGATTCTTGTACAGTTGAATATTCAGATTGTGAGGTTACAACTTCGCTTGTTCGTCCAGTGGTACTTCCATGACTTGTGCTGTCCGTCAAACAAGTTGCGTACTTCCCTGCCCCTTCCGTCGGCGTAGTTGGTGGAAATTCGGTAATGTCCTCAAAATCCTTCAAGTGCATCGTTCGGAAAGCACATTCATTTAGAATAATGTCGTTCACTTCATCATCTACTGGCGTAGAAGCGGTGGTAGCATGTTCCGCAGAATTTTGAATGGATGCCATGGTTGTGGTATAAATGGGCACAGTCATAAAAATGGAATTATTGGTGGTCATTCTTGGTGGAAGAGTAGTTAACGACGCTTCGCTTGTTACATTCGTAAAAAAATCATCATGGAAAGTACTGTGAAATAGAGGTGACGTTTGTACATTTTTACTTTGAAGTGCGTTGTCTAGATCTGAAAATGGCACGGCAGATGCATTTGCTCCGGTGTGTTCCATAATCATGGTGACGTAGTTTTCTGTAGATTCTAATTTCGACTTTGTGATAGTTGCAGGTAATGAATTGGTGTCATCTGGAATTAAAGATTTACTTTTACAAATGATAAAGCAATGTAATTTCCTTACCAATGTTCACTGGATAACTGGACTCGCCAATTGGAGAACTTTCAACAGTATGCTCTTCCATGGACGAAACATTCTCAGATAACAACGTTGGTTCCAAGGTGGTGTGAGCTTCTATATCAAATCTTGATTCGGTACCATTTGCAAGAAGAGTGAAAGTAGTGAGTTCTTCAGTGGTTGATCCACTTCCCTTGTTGATTATTTCCAATTCCGTAGTACCTTCGAACGTATCAGAGAATGATGATTCAGTCAGAGTAGAAGATTGCATTTTATGTTCAGTAGATGTGGTCATTTGTTCAGCTACGCTTACCACGTTTGGCTCATTCCCATTAGAGGTTTCAGCAAAAGTAATCACAGTGTTTTCAGTTGTCGAGGGAATTTCACCATTTTTCCTCTCTACAGAAAACGTTTTCGTTTCAGGCGAAAGTGTGGACATTAAATCGCCCGTCGAAGAAAATTGCTCGTATTTAATAAACGTGGTATCTGTTTCAACTACTTCGGTAGTTCCGTGATAACCATCAAATGGTGTTTTCAAGGTAGTGTCATTTTCCATATAGGATTCTGATCCGACCGCAATGTCATATACTGATGTGGGAGATTCCTTTGGGATAAGTTCGTTGGTAGTAAGGGTAGGGGTTTCTTCACTAGTTCGTAGACTGTTATTGCTAATTATTTCAAATGGCGCAGTACCTTCAAACACCTCAGTTTCATTCTGAACAGAAGTGGATCCCTCTAGATACATTTCATTTGCAGCTGGCGTCGTGGTTTCTTCACCTACATTTATCACGTGGCTTGTTTCATTTCCGTGAGGCTCTTCAATTTCCGTTTCAGGGGCAACGGAAGATTTGGAGATGACATCACCTGCCGAAGAAGGTTCAGTGGCCGTGGTATCAGTTTCATCAACTATTTCAGTCGTTTCTGACCCCGTTTCCAGGTCTAGATCTTCATACTCAACTGTCGAATGGGAAAATCCCGTTTCATCATAAAAAGTTGAGATTTCGTGATCCTCGCTATCACTGTCAACGTCAAGAAACCTCGTTGCATTCACCATTTCATAGCTGACCTGCTCTGTTAAGGTTGTGAATCCTTCACTCACAGCCATTGGTGTATTTATTTCGGTGCTGCTACTTAACTCACCTCTGTCTTCCACTTCAGTCTCTAAAACATCTTCAGAAGTTGTAGTTTCATATTTATGAATTAACTCAGTAGGCAAAGTTTGAGGTAGCGTTATACTGTCGAACGAATCACTTTCAAAAACATGTGTATTTCCAGCCGCATAATCCGGAGAGAACATTGGCGTCTGGTCTTCCATGTTTTCGTCTTCTGTTACCTTTGTAAATTCGACTAACGTTAGGAATTTTTCTATTTCTTGAGTAACCTTGCCACTATCTTCTTCGCCTTCTGTAACCTGATCAAATTCTCGCAACTCTGTTCGATTGCGCGTACTGAAGCTTATCGCAGTTTTAAGTAGTGTACTACTTTGAGGAGGGCTGGAGGAATATGATGACTCGGTACTGGGCATGGTTTCCGTTTCTTCATTTTCTATTGCCTCCGTTATTTCGCCCGGAAGCGTGACTGCAGCATTTCCATGACTACCGCGTTGGCCAGTGGTGAGAATACTACTAGGAGAAGCTTCGCTTTCGTCGGTTGAAAATTCTACTGTAGACATAAATTCTGGCACGTGCCGCGTTTCTGCTTCGTTTACTTCAGTTATCTCAAAAGGGAGCGTTATTTGTGTGTGTGCCGCTACAGAGTCTGCTGTTTGTTTTTCTATTTCAGCTTCCACAGTAAGATTGCCAATTTGTTCCAGACTCGCATGGGTTAATGTTTGTGTAGTAACAGCTAAATCGTGCTTTGAATGTTGGTCTCGGTTTTCTGAACTTTCAGTATGGGCATTTGGTAAAATTGTTTCAGTATGTGTGTCGTCCGATACATTACTACCACTGGAACTTTCCCAAGTTGCGTAAGATACCGTTGATGACTGAGCAAGCAAAGGAGGTGATGAGGGTTCCAATTTTAAATGCTCTCCCTCCAACGTTTCGTGGTGAGTAGATGATTGCGGCCAATGGGTCAAAGATGGACTTGTGAGTGTTTGTGTTTCATCAAAGTATTTCAAACTCGTTTCAATTGATTCCGTGTCTCCCATTGACGTTTCCTCGCGAGCGGGTGGTTGTGAACTTTCAGGAAAATTCTTTGTTTCTATACTCTCTAAAGTATTACTTGAAATTTCAGATTCATCTATCGTTCCAAATGTCCCAACATGTTCGGGATGATCTTCTATCATTGTAGGGAGAGTAGACAATTCAGGAAAAGTTGTTTCGATTTGATCGGAAAAATTCTCCTTCTCCTCAGTGTTTGTACGTACTTCATTTGCACCATCTGGAATTACAGTATGTTCTTTCAATACTTCATGGCCCTCAGACGATTGAGAAGCGAGTGAAATTTGAATTGCAATCGTCGATTCAAAGTGTTCATCCGTACTATCAGCCAAGGTTATTTCAGAAAACGTGACCTGTTCATATTCCGGATTCTCTGTTTTTCTAAACATAGTGTCTGCTGTTGTTCCTATGGGTGTTGTGCCAGACATTTCCATGGTATTTCCAGTAGCGCTTGTAAAATTTCCAACCTCGATGGATGTGGTGCTTTCTAATACGAAACGGGTTGGCAAGCCATCGGCCAACATTTCTATGGTGGCGACACTGCCTTCAACCGAACTCTCTGTCTCTTCCGAAGGGAACATGTTGCCGGTAGCTTCAGTATGATCCATTTCGACAATGTTGGTAAGTATGGTTGATTGGTATTCTTCGTAATCACTGGGAGACTGGAGAGTTGATGCCTCTTTCATTTGTGTAAGTGTAGGAGTTCCCAAAGTAGATGAAGCACTTTCGGTAAGTACTGTGAAAGGTTCAATGGTTAAACTGGTAGCTGCAGAATCTGTAAATGGTTCGCTCGCTTCAGTGGTTTCGGAATGATCCGTATGAATAAAGTTGGTAAGTACGGTTGAAGGCCTTGACAGTTCAATATGTTCGGAGTGTTCCTCTGGATCACCGGGAGACCGGAGAGTTGATGTCTCTTTTATTTGTGTAAGTGTAGGAGTTCCCAAAGTAGATGAAGCACTTTCGGTAAGTACTGTGAAAGGTTCAATGGTTAAACTGGTAGCTGCAGAATCTGTAAATGGTTCGCTCGCTTCAGTGGTTTCGGAATGATCCGTATGAATAAAGTTGGTAAGTACGGTTGAAGGTCTTGACAGTTCAATATGTTCGGAGTGTTCCTCTGGATCACCGGGAGACTGGAGAGTTGATGCCTCTTTCATTTGTGTAAGTGTAGGAGTTCCCAAAGTAGATGAAGCACTTTCGGTAAGTACTGTGAAAGGTTCAATGGTTAAACTGGTAGCTGCAGAATCTGTAAATGGTTCGCTCGCTTCAGTGGTTTCGGAATGATCCGTATGAATAAAGTTGGTAAGTACGGTTGAAGGCCTTGACAGTTCAATATGTTCGGAGTGTTCCTCTGGATCACCGGGAGACCGGAGAGTTGATGTCTCTTTTATTTGTGTAAGTGTAGGAGTTCCCAAAGTAGATGAAGCACTTTCGGTAAGTACTGTGAAAGGTTCAATGGTTAAACTGGTAGCTGCAGAATCTGTAAATGGTTCGCTCGCTTCAGTGGTTTCGGAATGATCCGTATGAATAAAGTTGGTAAGTACGGTTGAAGGTCTTGACAGTTCAATATGTTCGGAGTGTTCCTCTGGATCACCGGGAGACTGGAGAGTTGATGCCTCTTTTATTTGTGTAAGTGTAGGAGTTCCCAAAGTAGATGAAGCACTTTCGGTAAGTACTGTGAAAGGTTCAATGGTTAAACTGGTAGCTGCAGAGTATGTAAATGGTTCGCTCGCTTCAGTGGTTTCGGAATGATCCGTATGAATAAAGTTGGTAAGTACGATTGAAGGTCTTGACAGCTCAATATGTTCGGAGTGTTCCTCTGGATGTACGAGAGGTTGAGAAGTTGACGTCTCTTGTGTAAATTTTAAGCCTGCAGATGACTCGTTGCCATTTTCGGTAAATATTGTCAAAGATTCGGCTGGTAACGTGATAGTTCCAGAGTGTTCCATTTCTTCTTCTGCCTTAGTTGGTAAGATACTTTCAGCATGAACCGTTTGGATTAAACTGGTAAGTATAAATGGCGACATAGACATAGGTTTGGAGTGTTCTGCTGCTTGATCGTCGAGATATGAAGTTGATACTCCTGTTGCAAGTGTCCCATGAGGTTGTGGTGCATTGGCCCCACCTTCAGTCTCTTCAATGGTTTCGGTGTGATCCGTTTGGCTAAAACTGTTAAGCATGGTTGATGGCCTTGCCAGTTGTTCCTGGTCGCTGTGCGGTGCGTGAGTTGACGTCTCTGATACTTGTGGAAATGCTACAGCCGTAGAACTCACACTGTCAGTAAGCATCGTAAAAGGAACTAAAGTGATATCGGAAGATAGGTTTGCTTCTTCATTGGCTTCTGTATGTTCCGTATGAATCAAGCTGGTAAGTATAGTTGAAGCCTCATGATTAATAGGAGACTCTGGAGTCGACCCAAGCGTAGTCTCTGAAGCCGGCGAAACGTTCCCACTACCGTTAGAAATGGTAAATGGTTCAGTATCTAAAGATATAGTTGAATGGTGCTCTAAAAGATCACCCAACTCGGATGGCTTTGAAACTTTGTCATGAGTTGGCGATGCTTCTTCTACTGTAGTAGATATCATTTCTACTTCTGACGTGATAATATTGTTAGTAGATTCTGAACGTGCAGTTGCCATCGGTTTGGTTGTTAACTTCCCCCTAGCAGAAGAATGAAGAAAGTTATTCGTCAAAGTGGAATGTTGTGTATTCACTGTCGATTCTTCACATGTTTCACAAATCGTCACATTTCCTTGACTTGTAAAATGCTTCAATTCTTCGTCTGCAATTTCCAAAACAGTCGTAAACGGTCTAGTTGCGCCCTTTTCCTGTTTCTTAAAATGCGTTGGCGTTGGTATTGGCGAGGCCATTTTCGTGGAAATTGAAGATAACGAGATTGATGGGTTAGTACTAGTTTCTACCTTTGACTTTTGCTCAAGACTCATCGACGGTATGGGAGGTTTTACACTGTCTTCTTCGCAAATTTCGCAAATTGTGGTATCTTCTTTATTACTAAAATGCTTGAAGTCTTCTTCTGCAATTTCCATAGTCGGCGGAACATGAATGCTTTCTCCCTTTTCATGTTTCTTAAAATGTGTAGATAATGTCGAAACACTTCCGATCGGTAGTAACTCCGTATGAGTGCTTTCTGTTTCTGTAGCGAAACTAAGTTGTGTCAAAGGACCCGCGGTTAATGTTGATGTTTTGTCAAGAGAACTCGAAAAAGAAGGGGTACTATGAACACCACCATTGCTCGTATTGTAAGTGTTAGCAACCGCTGTCATATTTTCAATCAGCGTTTGCAAAAACGTAGATGAAGTAAATAACCTTGATATTGCATCTGATTGAGAATTTGGGATTTCGGTAAAATTTTCAAAAACTTCGCTGGTATGGGAAGTAAAACTACTAACTTTAGGAGCGGCCTCTGTTTCTTGTTGGTGAACGGGAGATCCTTCGAAATGCTTACTGGAATAAGGCGATCCATTGGTTTTGGATAATTTCAAATCCGTTGATGTTTTCAGGTGTTCGAGACTAGACGGTGACGTTTCTTCATGCTGGGCGCTAGCAGTATCGTCTGGAGACAACTCCTCAGAAGTCACAGATATTTCAGTCTGGATATGGTGCGTAACAGGTAGTGGCATAAAAGGTTCAGGTAAGGTTGTTAATTCATGTTTCTCTGTTACAGATGGAAACTGCAGTTTTAACTGTTCGGTTGAAGATATACTCGTATGTTGTGGCACAGATGCAGATGTTGTGTTACTTGTAGCGGGAAACCAAATAAATGGTATTGTGTTAAAATGTGTGGATTCCGTCTCGGGTGTAAGAGTCATATGGCCATGAAGAATTTCTTCAATTTGCGAAGATAAGTCTTCGTTGGTAGAGAACGAAGGTGTAGATATTGGAGATTCTTGCTCAGTTTTCAAAATTTCTGACGATACGACCGTTTCGTCTAGACCGTTAAGGGAAGGAGTAATTTCTGCAGAATGAGAAAGTTGGGTGGTGTCTTCATTGGGACCAGTTAATTGATCCATTCCATGAAGTTCGGAAGTAGTAACCTCATTGAGTGTTACAGACGCGTTCGTTTTCACTTCATCTCTCATGTGTGTGACTTCCAAATTTCTAAAGTCTTCAAAATCCGTGTACTGTGAGGAATCGGTTGATACTACTGGAACTGTTTCCTCGGCAGCTGTCATCTGTACATTATCAAAATCCAAAGTAACTTCTTCCGGGATAGTTACGTGGTGTTCTCTTCCATTAAAAGAGACATGGTGCGATGCGGTCAACGTTGGCTGTGTCGAAGCCGCCAAGGATCCATTCACCTTTTCCATCTCGCTATCTTGATCTACCAAGAATGGTAAAGTTAGCCGCTCGTGTGCCGACTTTTCGGTTGGTTCCACAGTTTCAAAGACCTCTGAAGGCTTAATATTGTGTACTGTAGGACGTAAAGAGGCTTCCGTTGACGTTTGGTGCTCTAGTAGATTCTTATTGGAATGTTTTTCTTCGTGCTCTGTTGATGCAATAGGAAGCTGATCGTGTGATTTCAAAGTCACAAAATCAGATGATGATTTCATTCCATGAGTTAGACCTTCACTAGATGATTCAACTGATAGTATTGATTCGAATGTTGCCTTAGCTCTGAAACTGTCACCTTCTCCTACACTTAGAGTACTAATTTCACTATCATCGTAAGTTAGTGAGGGTTCTCGTGTCACATGTGTAAATGGTGTTGGTGTCACTGATTCTTCCAATGTAGATATCAAAGCGGACACGCTCTCGTGAACTTGTTCTCTTTCCGGAATCAAAGATTCAGTTGATGTCTCTTCCGTTGAAGATTCATGAAGGCTTTGAGTGTTAATTTCTGGAACGTATGGTTCGTTAGTCGATTTCACAGGCTCGTGAGTAAAATCTTTGATTTCAGTGGTCTGTTCTTCCGTTGGCACGTGGTAAGTGGCCAACGTCAAAAAACCACTGCTGCTTTTATCAACTGTTCGCTCCGTTGCAAACTGTTCTTTAGAAATCTCATAGCTTAAATGTTGAGTGACCTCTTCAATGGATGTTTGAAATTGTGGAAACTTTGCAGTATGACTTACTGGCACATGTTCGTAAGTTGATTCTTGTATTTCGTCGGTATCCATGTAATTAGATGGTTCCACTGTTGAAATTTCTTCTACTGTTACAAACGGTGAATGCGCGTTTTCTTCTGGGGACGTATCGTCAATTTTAAAAATGTCAGAAGAATCACTATGAGGATCATGAGTAAATTCTTCTTCGGCATAAGTAGGCGTTACATCGGTTAAACCGGAAGTAGTGGTCCCATGTGTGAGGCTCACTTCGAAAGTTTTAATCTGTGCCGGCCATTCACTAGTCGATTTTGGTGGCTCAGTTTCGAGTTGCAATTGTGTAATGATTGGGGGTACCATCGTAACAATGTCCGATGACTCAATCGTAGATAAGGTGCGAGACTCATATTTCGAACTGACTTCAGTAATGGGGACCTGAAAAATACCGCATTAGTAAGTGGATGCGAAATTACGAACATTACATTTTCAGTAACCCATGAAAATGTGAGATCGAAACCAGAAGAACTTTTGGGCGGAGGTCTTATGGTTATTCTTTCCTCGGCAGATACTTCTGTATTGATTTGACCGGTGGTAAATCTTTCAAGCAGGTGAGTACGATTTGTTTTTAATAAATAAATCTTATTTATGTCGGTTTCGTTTCGGTGGCGAAATCGGTCCGGATGATTCTCACTCGATTGCACAGTCGCCGGTGTTGCCACTGAAACTGCATTGGTGTACATGGGAGCTTCCCATGGTATGGTTTCTTCGTTCGTGACTCGGTATGTCGCGTTAGTTGAAAACGTGGAGACGTGACTCGATGTAAAAGGCTCAATGGTTTCGGTGTCATTTAACATTATATTGTCCAGATCTATGTCTTTGAGTGGTCCAAACTGATCAGTCTGAATACTTTGTGTCGTTAAGGTAGGGCTTTCAGATGTCCAGATTTCCAAGTTTTCATCCTCTGATCTCATTTTCTCAGAGGAAATTTCAAAAGGGGTTAGACTTACAAAATTCTGTGGTTTGTAGGAAGGTTCCGTTTCGAACACTTCTTCAGGTGTAAGGATGAAGGTAATAACCACAGGCGTCTCTTCTGTAACTGATTCCAGGGATTTAGTTGTATGCTTAGTTACGTGATGAGTCGAAGTCGATGTTTCATGAAATGGCAGAGTCATAGGCGCGTTACTAAACTCGAGAATTTGTTTATTTTGGGCATTGGTTTTTGCAGAAACTTTCTCTGTTACATTTTCTCTAATAGTTAGTTTCATTATATTACGATGTCCAGTTGAAGAAGCGTGGTGCGTAAATTTATCAACACTCGGTAAAGTAGTGCTTTTATGCTCATTAGTAGGGTGCCTTACGGTGGATATTGTGCTCATTGGCTCTGTAACATCCCCTTTCTCTCTTCTTCTGGTTAATTTGTAAGTATACTTTCTTGATCTTGATCTAGATCTCGTTGGTTTACTGGTCACCGACCTCTTATACGCTGGCGCAGTGTTACGATTACTATTACTAACTAAAGCGACATTAAATGCATCAACAGGAAATTTAGTAGGACTCAGTTTAAAAAATGCCCGTCTGACCTCCCAAATAGTTTTTTCCAAATTTTCTTTTTTTTTGTTTTACGTTTTTTCTCTTTTTTCCTCTTCTTGCACATCAAAAATCGTTTATTTAACTTATTGCCACGGAGCCCTGAAGCTCGATAAGCTACTGTCCTCTGTGTTGCGTCCACATCCTTATTTCCTGACCGCCTATCCCTACGTATTTTATCGAGTATACGTTCCAGTTGATTTACGACATTTAAATCTCGCTCTAGTCGCAATATTTTATCTCTATCAGACGCGGTTTCGGTCAAGAAATTAATCTCTGTTGTTGATTGAGTATCAACTGTAATTAAATATGACTGATTTAGTGATTCTATTGAAACTATCATTGGTATTTGGACGTTTGGCACGCTTCCATTTGAGGAAATAGTAGGTGGAGTAAGAAGATGGTCTTCAAATGATAGTTCGGGAGATTCCGTTACAATTGAACTGGTGTTCCCAAACAGAGACTGTTCTATACTTTTCATCGGATCATTACAAGTGGTATGTTGAGAAGCTGTTACAGTTTTATTCGCTATCGACAATGTTGAAGATTCACTTTTACTTTTCTTATGTGGATGAGTCTAAAAAATAGTTTAAACATCAAAAAGGTACAAAAAATATAAGAAGTGTCCCGAGAAAAAGAGAACTCATGCCAGGAGCAATACACCAATCCCGTTTTCAAATGTCTTATTTACTTAATACTTAGTATAGTATCATTTATTTATATAAATAAAGGTACCTGTTACAAAGTGGATAATAAGTTTCATAAACCTGAATAGGATTCTGGTTTTTTTTTCACAGATCCTTGCACTATACACTGTGTCCAATAAAATGATGTCTATCATGGAGATCTCGGAAACCACAGAAGATACGACGATGGTTAAACAATGGAAAAGTTGTGCAATTAAACAGTTATCATGCTGTAAAGAAAACTAGACAATCCGATTACTTCCGAAGGCACGCCAGAAAAACCGAAATTTGCCGATTTTGTTTTTTTATTTTTTTCTGGTTCTATTTGATCAGATACAGAAAAATAAAAAAAACACTTTCTCATTGCCTTTTTTTTAGCCTTGAGATTTTTTTAATACAACGTTTCGTTTCGTAGAAGTCGTCAACTTTTTTATATGGCTCGTAACAAAAGTACATACTGTATTGAGTTTTATTACGACTACAATGATGTACCCCACAAAAAAAAAACAAAAGTTGGAAACTGTAGTTTCAACAGGATGGTGCACCTGTGCACAACGCTCTTATGGTGCAAGAATATCTATCGGAAAGAATTCCTAGAAGATGGAAAATGTATCTGATAGGTATTCTCACACGATAGGGCCGTTGTGTGCAGGTGCACCATCCTGTTGAAACGAACAGTTTACAACTTTTTTTGTTTGTGCCATACATGTTGAAACGGGTCATATAAAAAAATAGAGTTGATGATGATTTCTCTAAAACGAAACGTTATCTCTCAAGGCTGCCTGGTAAAACTCAAAAAGTGGCAATGAAAAAGTGTTTTTTTTCTGTATCTGCTTAAATAACAGAAAAAAATAAAAACCAACTCGGCAAATTTTGGTTTTTCTGGAATACCTTTGGAAGTATTCGGAAGTTTCTGGTTTTCTTTAAAGCATGAAAATAACTGGTTAATTGCGCTTGCGCAACGTTTCGCTAATTTAACCATCGTCGTATCTTCTATGATTTCCGAAATGCCCATGATAGACATCATTATTTTGGACACAGTGTATATCGTGGTATTGGTAAGCTTCGCTCAAAATCTCGATACGAATTACTTTATTTATTTATTTAATTAATTAATTTATTTATTTATCTATTTGTTATCCTTCTTTTGTTCTAGGCCCTCAACAGGCTTGCGCCCGACACCCGACCTCCGGATTTATAACCCAACGCTCTGCCATTGAACCACAAAGTCGGTTAATGCAGTTTAGGTTTTTTGTTTGTTTTTTTTTTCGATGCGTATTTCCAATATCCAACCCACCAAATGCTTTGAATCACCAGTAAGTTACTAACCATTTAATTTTCAGGTTAATTAAATTCGTCGAGGGTGCTTAAAAGATTGCTATTGTACAGAGTGCGATTATTTGATTGTGAGGAATGGTAAACAATAATTGTCTATCGTTTACGAGTTGACAGTTCGTTCGCTTTATTGTGCACGAAAGCAATGTTGGCAATATATTCGAGAAAAGCAAGAAACCGAAGAGATCCCACGGTTCGATGAATTTGAAATTAAAGAATCCCAAGTCATGAAATCCGAAGCATTTGAAGCAACTGAAAAATCGGACGAATACGAGAATGAGAAACCTCCCGAAGAAGGGAAGAAAGGAAAATCGGAAAAAGCTAAACAATTCAAGATATTTCGACTAAGGAATGCAATACCAGGATCGGACCACCCCGTACATGACTTTTTTCGAACTTGTATTTTGTTCAACATAGGAAAATTTACTCATATACCGCTTGATAAAAAACGTGAACTGTCTGGAAATAAACAGCGATAACAACGTGTACGTTTTCGATAAATGTGTGCGTTGCGAGATCACAAAGGTGCACAAAGGAAACTGTGCTATCTAAAAATCTGTTTCCAATTTCTAAAAGAAGCGACATTTTCAAAGGAGCGATAAGATCAATACATTTGTTATCATAGGAGAATATTACCTACGTCAATAACTGTAAATTATTTTAAATTTTTTGATTTGTATTAAGTAGTGATCGATTATTTTTAGGAATTTCATGTTAATTTTGTTTGAAGTAATTTTAATATTCCTAAAGGAATTGACCCGTGATCATTATTTGCACGAGATTTTGTATTGTATTTATTGGTAAGAATCAAATCCAAACAAAGGATTTTGGTTACTTTGTTTCATTGATGATTGGGATTTTGCATTTAATTTCAGTGATACCATTCCTTTGGCCGGATTAAAATTTTGTTTAGTTAAAAAATGACATAAGGATCAAATTTAGCATAGACACGTGATCACTAGATAAGCATTGAATTTTTTTTTTAATTTCATTGAATCAGTTTAATATTTTACATCCAAGTGTGAAAAAACATGGTAATTGATCGCCTTTATTTTTATTAATATACTTCAATCAATTAAGTTCACATGAGCATTTATTATAGTTCAATCAAACCAGAGCATTAGATTTTCAATTTCAGATTTTAAGAGGCGATAAAGAGCCAAACTTTTGTAAGGTAAAGTAACGAACCACATTTATATTACTGAGCTAGCCGCCAGATTCACTTCCAAGGTAAGCAATGAGCGACAACGCTGAAAACGCAGCACGCGTGCTTGTTTAAAAGCTTTTTTTTAATTACTGGAATTATTGCATCATTTACACGCTGTTTTTTTTGTGAATTAATCATAAAAGTAAAATGGTAAAGGTGGAAAGCGGGCGACAGACCGACAGAACGACGTCGGTTTTGTTTAATTCGGATTCCTAGTGCTTCAAAACATGCATTTCCGTAAAAAAAAACGTGGGGGGTACCTACAAAACTTACCTTGGAGGTACATTTTGTGGGTGTGACGTTTTTGGGCCTCCTCGAACTTGCCGCGGCGCTATTGTAGTTAAACTCGTTATAATAATCATCGTAAGCATAATCGTAGTCATCTTGGTGGGCAGCTTCTACATCTCGCTCAATTCGTTCATAATCCATTTCTTTAGCGACTTCACGTTTTGGTTCAGCAGGCTGGATTAGAACGTTTCTTGGAGAAGGCGCATCCGTCTTTGGTATTAAAAGAATAATAGCATCATCTGACTCACTCGTAGAAAAACCATCGGGCACACTTGTACCGGCGCTCTCGTGATGGGGTAGGCTATTAATGGTGTTGTTTAAATCCCGAATTTTGTCCAGCAGCATTTGGTGTACCGCTATGATGTCGCCTTCCGAGTTACAGTGCCTAGGAAAGTGCTCCTTGAGCGGAGTTGCTCCTAACTGTGCAGGTACAACGTGAGATTCTTTGCCTTCCTGTTGTGCATTCGTTGTTTTGTTGTGCAAAAGGTAATCCTCCAATTCCTCTAGGTATTGTAAAAGTCTTCGGGAGTCTGTTATAAACTCTTCTTCCTTGTCCGTACAACACTTTCGAGAGATTCGATTCCTGTAATGCTTGTTTTTTGCCGATGAAAGTTTTCTTAGGTTAGTATTCGGTTTGCGACCGGCATGCAAATTGGCAATGTCTTTTTTATTGCGCAATTGGTCATATGTGAAATGCCCCCGGTTAGGTCCAACGTAAGAACTACGTTTCCTCAAACTCCTCGGCGTGAAGTGAGGAGTGCGCGAGTTTAATAGAGGACCTCGATCTTTTAGATGCGCATCTTTTCTATTTTGAGGACCGTGTTTTAAGGGGTATCTTCGGCTTTGGAATGTGCGTTCTATTACAGGGACAAAATTGTAACTTCTCATCGGGTTCTCCAGTGGGCTACTTGTGGACTGCAAACTTTCCGAATCCCCGTTGGCGTGCAATGGCAAGATTTCAACGCTACTAGGAGGTTGTTCTTTTTTGAAATATTCCCTATCTGTCGTACATGGGCGCTTATTTAGTGGCGCGTCTAGACTTGCTAAACATCCCTTTACCAATTTATCCACAAAGTCATCATATTGGTCGCCCTGACACTTCCGCTTAAATGCTACAGTAAGTTCAAGCAATTTCGTTTTCAATTTCTCGTATTCCACAATTTTGGTCAATAAATCCTCGCACTTTTCGTATGCGCGAGGGTGTGCATCGTTTTCCGCGAGAGTCAGTTGTCTTTCAATACTTTTATGTGGCTTTGGGGTACGTATCATGGTCGTTTTGGCTTCGTGTCCATGCCTCGAGGTTGTGACAGAAGATTTGGTAATTGAGGGTACCTTATGATCTAACTCAACTATGTCATTAAAATCTGCCACTTTGGCCAAATTGAGGTGGAGGTGCCTATTTTCGATTAATTTTTCAATATTACTTTTCTTGCAATGGACGTTTGAGTGTAAATAAGTCATTAACCATATAAGACTAAAAACAGACAAATTACGTTTAGTATCCACTTAGTTAGAATAAACCTACCCGACTAAGGCATGCCAAAGCATCTGAGGAATTCATAGGTAAATATTTCATTCATCACGGCTTATACTATCACATATGCAATAAATGTATGATGTAAATGTTAGATAAAGAAAACTGCTTTAATGTCAAATGTGACAAATAATGTAACTGCACCGTTGGAAATCATGTTGCCTGACAGTTTTAGTAAGCAAATGGATCATATTTATTACACCTTCATGGTTAGAAATAATTGTCGTCCAGGGGGCACAGTTCCAAGGATTGAAGCTATTGTTGAATAGCTACTACAACCCTCTTAATAAGAAATTTAAATGCTTTCTGCTCTCCACGGATAGTAATCCTAGATCCGATTTCTCTGGCAAAATTAAGACATTCTCTTTTCAATACTACATTTGTACACCAAGAACAAAAGTCTCTGTGCCCGCTTTCGTTCGCAACTAGGTTCAGGGCCAGTTCTTCTTAATAAAGGATAGGACCCTGTTTAGCCTAAGTAGCTTCATCCTCCCTGGTTGCGGGTAACTGTCGCTAAGGGGCTGATGTCTGCCTCTGATCAAGGCGCCACAGTAACAGACCACATGCTCGGTAATTTCATTGGTCTCGCCCCGAAACCGGTAGGTGAAGTCTTATATACGAGTCCAATGCTGTGCAGGTTATATCTGGCTTCTATTCAGTTTTAGGAGCTTAGAAGACCTAGATTTGCCAAGGGGCCCTGTTAAAAAGGCCCTAGACTGAGCCCGGTTGCTTGTTGCCACTGAGCCTAGTGTACCTGCACTGCAGCGTTGGCCGCTCACGCTAAACATATAGTGAATGCCAAGCATATCAAAGGGCGCCCGTACACGAGCCGCATTTTGCAGTCGGACCGGCCACACAATTTCCCTCATTTTCCGGCGAACTGAGTTTCCCATATTTATGATTTCATGAAAATTTACACATATACCGCTTCATAGCGAACATGAACAAACGTATGCCTCGATTAAAAGCGATAACAAAGTGTGGATTTGCGAGATGAAACGCTAGTGAAACTGGATTATACGGGGGTTTTGAGGTGGGGAGGTTAGACTTTCAAAGAACTACCAGGTCTTATTTCTGTGCAACAATTATATTTTCGCATAATTGCGGTCATTTCGTAGCTGACTAGTTGATAAATTGGGCAAAATTGATATAACACAGCGGAACAGTGGCATTTTATTCGGATTTGCATTTAATTTCAGTGATAGCATTCCTTTGGTTGGATTACAATTTTTTTTGGCGTTGCCATATCGCATGAAGTAATACATCTGTGGTATTATACGTAAGATTACTTTAGTATAATAGGCAAAGGATTCGGAATTATAGCGCTACAATAATTATGACTCATAAATTCGCTTTCTGAAAGCGGCCACGTACAGCGTGCAATTATTGCGATTTATATAAAACAATTATCGCTGGAATTTGTTCTATGAAAAGCGGGTTGGTCCGATAGTTAAGGGCTGAAAGTGAGTGAAAGAGAAGAACTGCCAATATTCCTCGCCGAAGAATAACAAATTAGCAGATAGGTTTATTTAGCTATAGGGGCATTTTAGTAAGAATTAGGTTTCTTTTCTCTTTTTAGCGTGGTTATAATAAATTGCTTAATTTCAATGTTCACATGAAAAAATGTATTCATTTTGATCTTTTGGAATTGCTCTGCCAGTTATGAGTTTTTTACTGAAGGAGTAAAAAGATTTTTTGTGTAAAAAAGAGGCCTACATGATAATTACATAAACTCTCCAAAACGTATATTGGAGTATAAATTTCTAAATCAGTATTCTTCCAAATTGTGATTACAAATTATTGACAATTAATGAGATATGGCCAATTAAATACCGTGCCTGTTATAGGAGCAATTAATTATATACCGAGATCTGCTTGGGGGGTTTCCTTTTGATTATTTGCAGGTTTTGGATGCGAGAACTGAGCTCACTTTTTGACGTCAACATCATTTATGCAAGGTAAGAGTGCCTTATATGTTTTATTTATACAATGCGATCAAAAATGAGTTGCTGTCGAGTCACCTTTGGAATTTTTGTTTATATGGGAAATCATACTTAAATTGAACTTCCAAAGGCGACTAGACAGCAACTCATTTTTGATAGCCCGTTACCTACTAAGTATGGGATCAAAAATGAGTTGCTGTCGTCACCTATGGAATTTTTGTTTAGATGAGAAATCGTACTTAACTTCCAAAGGTGACTCGACAGCAATTCATGTTTGATCGCCCGTTACTTGGCCCTATACGTGTGAATTGTTGTCCGGAATATCAATTTATTTGTGGAAACTGGTATTAAGATTCAGTAATCAATTTAATCAACCATTCTTGGTGGGGGGTTTGTTAAACTGGAGAATTTCAATTGTACATTAAAGTTACCAAGATTTTTGTGCAACCTAAGTTATAATTTTGAGTGTTTGGGGGAGTATTTTGAATATTTGTGTGTTACGCTATCCCATTTTGGACAGAAGTATTTCTTTTGGTAGGTACCTAAATTGATTTATACTGTTTTTACTACCCGCATATCTTCTCAAAGTTAGAAATTGAGTGGCGCTCAACCATTGGTAAATGCAACGAAGGACGAAGATCAAAATCAAATATGGCAAGTTGTGCTCTGCGCTCTGATTGGCCGAATGGCACGGTGCGTGCCGAGAGCCGCGGGCGAGGTTTTACAGTGAACTAATTAATCCTTGTAATAAATTAATTAGATGGTATATCGGATACACATTACATTCTAATTTTTAAGTAGCGGGTGGCAAAATAAGAATATTAGAAGGGTAAAGAATGTTTATATAATGCACCATTTTAGTTTTACTTTGTGTTTTATGATAAAGACTTATTACGCTACAGGTGGTGATGGTTTCTTGGAATAAATTGAATGTAGGCCATTATTAGGTAAAACACGAAATTATTGCTTTTATTTATTTTGATAAGATTTTGTAAAATTATTAAAGTGGCCGGCGTGTTTCCTTGGTGTAGATTTCTTATCTTTAGAAATTATTTGGGTTTATTTTCGTGTAATTCGGACATATTTGTGTTTAAAGTAAATAGGGTTTAGATAGGAAAATAATTGAGAACATTTTGTTTACGTGTTAAAACAAGTGTTTTTACTAAAATACAACAAAAGTTTGCTTTTTAAATAAAAGTGGAAGTGGTTCGCGCTAACGCTTGTTTATAAAAGGAGTGTTCGAAAAAAAATTCGTGGAGATTTTCTGTGTACTAGACTCTACATCTACACTCTAGCAGATTCCCTTACGGAGGACCCTCCGTGGACTTCTCATCACCGTCTGTATACACACAATTTTGAAATTTACGTGGTACAAGTTTTGTAAAGTAAATAAAGTGTTTGTGTGATATCGGCAGAGTTTCGCGCAATTGTTTTTTAATTTTGTCACGTGTGCTCAGGAACCCAGTAAATTTAGAGTGTCTGGGCAAGCCGAGTGTGTGATTTAAAAATTCCAATTTGTTTGTAATCTGGTTTTTTTGGTATTTTGAAGTCATTTTCACCGAATAGCGGGGTGATAGTCCCATTTTTGTAAAGTACCGGAAGTAAATGAAATAATATTTTACTCATATTTCAGTTACGGAAAATGATATGTAGGCACTACCTAATTCTTTTATTTTATGCAAAAGTAAATGTACAGACGCATTCACGCGTCTGAAAAATCCATGATATAAAATTATTTATTTTGTCATTTGATAACATTTAACCCACCTTCCTCCCCTTCTTTTACTAGGTGGAGGACAACAAATAGGAACATTTCGCGATTTTCACAATTGAATAATATCGTTTATGATTCTATTTTACATTTTAGAGAAACTCCCGTTTAATTTCCACCATTTTTATCTTTATAAAAAATGCTACTCCAGTGCTTTATCTCTATTATTTTCTGAGATACGGCCACCTTATTTGGTTAACCGGTACCTACATAAAGAAATAACGCCATAAAAATTAAGTCATACTGTTTACCTACGCATTTAACGCGCAAAGAATTATTCTGGGATTTGCTTAATTGCAAAGGTCTTAATTAAAGCGAAAATTTTTGTAACACGTTATAAAAATGTAATTATATTAGACGCAATTTGCTTTAACATGGCTTTAGGGGGTTTCTTTTTTCTAGAATTAATTTCAGAGGCTCAGGTGTTCTAAAAGGATCACAGATATTAACTTCTAGTGCTTACGTGCTTTCCGCCCCCGGGGTAGATTTTAGATAATGAAAATAAAAGACTACGAAGCCAATAAAATTGTTTTCTCGGAGTCTTAATATTCCATTCAAGTCATTTATATCTAGCGCTTTGTAATTTAGATGTAGGTATACGTACATGTCGTCTTACCTCCACCTACAATTTTTTATTTTTCGTTGTCTTTAATGTGTACGTTGGAAAACACTGTAGTGGTCTGCGTTCACAGTACAAATAATTTTTTGAAATTGATAAGACAAAGAATTTTGACTCAAACATTTTTTTAATTAAATAATTCGAGTTCCTTTTGTTCTTAGTATCGTTGGCTATCACAAAGAAACAAATATAAACTTTGGAGAGTGGATTAAATAATTTGACATCACCAATGGATATATTTCGTCCAAACGTACCAATCGCCTTTTGTGAGTACCCTCCTCCCTCACATCGCTGTACAAATATTAGAACCAATCACGTTAAGGGGTCGTGGAGGAGGACTGTGGTTGGTAGAAACTCATTCCGTTCGTTGTGACATTTTATTAGAATACCAAGATAAAATAAATTTCTAACCCCCACCCCCTCTCCCCGTCCCCCAGTCATCTTAAAAAGGAGTTGCGGATGAAAGTTATGGTTTGTAGAAACAAATTCCTGATTAGAAAACCATGCACGTGTGTTTACACGTTACAATTTCCTCGTGGGTACAAAAAATACATTTATAACAGTCTTGAAATGTATTACTTTGTACTAGTTAAGTAATATTTATCACTCACATAACACGAGAGGGAGCTGAAAATTTCACCCCGAATCGATGTTAAAACTGGCTCGAAACACAATTCGATTTGTGCGATGATTTTTAGACGTCTATCACCGCAGTTTTCTCTTTACATAGGTTAGAACTAGCGTGTAAACGTATATCATACGTATGTTGAGCGGTCCGTT